ACCCTCCACTTTTCGCGCGTGCGCCTCCCACAATTTTCCCCCCCCTCGGGAATGTTCCATTCCTGTGGGCTGAAGGGGTAGGGGAGAAAAGGACAGGCAAAAGCGGGTAGAGCTTGCCGTTAGGACTGCAATTACCCATGTGGCAGGCAGAAACCTAAGACAACCTACCTCTCTGGGGTCGGCGCCGGGGCTCTCTTCTGCACTCCTTCTCCTCCGGCCCGCGGTGAGCAGGTCGACAGCAGCCTAGCGCCCCTCTGCTGGCCGATGGTTGGAGGCCGCGGCGGCTGCGCGTTGAGTAGCTTCCTGCGGTATTACCCGAGCTTTCTTCGCAGTTGCGGGACTCGCGCTTTGTAAACGGCTTCTGATAGTGTCTGCTGGTCAGCGCGTTAGGAGTACTGGTCCTCGACTCATGGTGAGGGAATGGGCCGGCACGTGGGTTGTACCGATGAAGGAAAGGAGTGGGAGTCCAAACCTCCGTAAGGTAGGGAGCGAGGCTAGTAGGGCAGGCGTCCCTCCTAGGGGCTTTCTACCTGGCTTTGGGATCCCCACCTGGGATCCACGGAAGAACCGGTGCGGTGGTCTGCTTTTGTTGTTAACCCAGCTTAGACTTCTCGAATTTCACACCATTGCCTATACGCGGTGATGTTTTTGTGTCCTTTACGCACTCCTCATGGTTGGTACATCTTCAACCTCATTAGGTAGCCTGGCGTGGGAGTATAAGGAAACCACGTACTTGTAATTCAGTTTTGGACTTGGTCTCCCATGTCTTGTGTGTGTGTGTATGTTTGTTTCTTTCTTTTTGGTTAAGTATCTAACAAAGTTTTTTTTTAGCTAGTTTTTTTCTTGGTTCCTTAACAAAAACTGGACATAAAAATTAGTTCAAATGTGCCTTCAGGGTTGGTGTGAAATAATAAGATAATATATGTAAAGTAGAAATAGCCTTTAGGCACAGGGAAAGTGCAGAGTATGATGTTATCGTTTTCAGTACTGTTGATAAGGTTTGTGGGTGTAATTGGTAGTTTGTGTTCTATCCTTTCAAATCGTTAATAAAACAGTGCAAAACTAGACCTATCAAATTTCTGTGGCTACTGAATACTTTTTTCTGAAAACCTTGCACTGGTATTCGATAATTGAATTCAGGAAAACTATAGACTATTAAAATCCGCAGATAATCCCAAAGTTTATCTAATATAGTAGTTTTTAATTTCATCCAAAGGGTAAATGAAGCCGAATGAATTAGGAGAAGAGTCTACTTTCCTGCACATCTGTGGAATTTTAGGGATCTAGGGAATAATTCAAAAATCACTGTACTAAAAGGCCCATTCAAATTCCAAAATTCAAGTAGGCAGTCCTAAATTTCCCCCTTGGAATATATGGGTCAGGTTTTGTTACTTGTTTTGGGTTTTTTTAAGGTAATAAGGAAATGAGCCTTAATTACTTCACTGTTGATTTACTTTTCTTAACCATGTCTCAACTCTTTTATAGAGCCCACTTAGGTAGCTCTACACTGATCTTTATTTAATTGTCTCAGGTATGCAACTTTTTAAATTCGAGGGCAGGGACTGTGTCTAACATTTCTTTTACGTGCTTTCGTAGTCTAGCAAAGCAAGTTATGAAAATATTGAAATGAATGTTAGATACTTAAAATACCAGAAGAGAAAGAGAATCAACATTTGTGCAATATCATGTCAGGAGAACGTGTTCCTGTTTAGTCCTTATAGTGTACAACACTTTTAAATAGATAATTACTCCCATTTTACAGATGAGAAGCCTGGGGCTCAGAGAAGTCCAATAACTTGATATTTAGACTTTCGTTTATCTCTTAAAAACCTTTTTTCACTATAGCACATTGCCTTCATAATAAAATTTCTCATCAGCAGCATAATTGCACATGCTGCAAAGAAAATACTCTTTTAGTAGAATTCCACTACACCAGTGTATAAAGTAAGTTACTTATTTATGGTCTGCGTAGAAGTAGCTTACGGTAACTACAGTAATCTCCCCTTATTTGCCGTTTTGCTTTCCGTGGTCAACTGAGGTCCAAAAATTTTAAATGGAAAATTCCAGAAGTAAAAAATTCATAAGTTTGAAATTCCTTTTTGTTCTGAGTAATGTGATGAAATCTCACACTCACGCTGCAACTCACCTGGGATGTGAATCAACCTTTTGTTCAATGTATGTACAGCATATCCATGCTATATATACTACCCACCCTTTAGTCCCTTAGTAGCTGTCTCAGTCATTAGATGAAAAACACTTGGTGTATGTAGGGTTCAGTACTATCCATTGTTTCAGGCATCCACTGGGGTTAAGTGCTGTCTTACCTCGTTGAATGAATGAACCCTGAATTATTTGAACCAACAAAGGTTTGGAAGACAAAATAATGGTTTCCCCAGAGATGTTTACATCCTAATCCCTGGAACCTGTGAATATGTTATGTTACATCACAGGAGAGAAATAAGGATGCAGATGGAATCAAGGTTGTTAATTAGCTGACCTCAAAATAGGAAGGTTATCCTGGATTATCTATTTAGGCCTACTCTAATGACAAGGGTCCTTAAAACATGGAGGAGGGAGACAGGAGAGTCAGTGCCAGGATGATCGAATGTGAGAAAAACTCCCAACTAGCCATTGCAGATTTTGAAAATGGAAGAAAGTCATAGGCCATGCAGTCTGTAGAAGCTGGAAAAGGCAAGTAAAGAGACTTTCCTAGAGCCTCTAGAAAGAAATGCAATCCTTCTAACACTTTGATTCCGATTTCTAAACTACAGAACTTTAAAATAGAATTGACTCCATATCTGTGGGTTCTGCATTGATGTATTCAACCAACCCCTTATCTAAAATATTCAGGAAAAACAATAAAAAATAAGAATACAACAATAAAAAAATACAAATAAAAAAACATACAGTATAACAACTATTTACATAGCATTTACATTGTATTAGGTATTATAGGTAATCTAGAGATGATTTAAAGTGTATGGGAGGTGTATGTTTTATGCAAATTCTATGCCATTTTATATAAGGGACTTGAGCATCTGTGGATTTTGGTATCCACAGGGGATCCTTGAACCAATCCCCCTTAGATACTGAGGGACAATTGTAATAAATTTTTGTTGTTTTACATTGCTAAGTTTGTAGTAATTTGTTAGGGCAGCAGTAGGAAACTAATACATAAGGGAGCCAAATTATGGCTAACCTCCAAAGTAGTCTGCCTTGGATTTAGGTTTTGTTTTTTAATTTATATGAGGGTGTGGTTTAACTGAAATAAATTTTCAAGCAAAGTGATAAACACTCAACAGAGCTGCCTAGATTTCCAGTATTTCCCTTCTGGCACTAGTCCTCAAGCTGTGAATAGACAGCAAGGCTTTTATATTGCTATACTGCAGCAGTATTAGCTCATCTGCCCTCAGACTTCCCTACTAGAGTAGAAGTACATAATTAAACATTTATTTTATGGTGCTGCTTTGCTGGGATGTTGTCTAAATGCAATATAGATAAGCAGGAAAGCCTCTTTGACATAAACTTTTTTTCCCCACGTACCAGTCATCTTTTATTGGGCATTAATTCTCAATTAGGGTATGAAAGGATTCCGCAATGATCGAGTTCCTCAGGGAGGAGTGCTGGGCCAAGGTGATCATGGTAGGAGTGCAGAGTGTGCCTTCCACACTGGTCTCTCTTCAGTGGTGCTTGCATAGCCACTCATTGTTTGGCCTCCTTGTGAGAATGCCAGTAGCTGAAAAGCTTGTAAGCTTCCAGCACCATAGATACCCCAGTGATGCTCCCTTTCTTCACATTGTTTTAATGCAAGTAGTAACCTCTTTGAAACGCTCCAACAATGCCTTTGGGGTGAAATCCCACAGCAGTATCCAGCTTGGCAGTTTCTCTAGTTTAACATCACTGAGTTTCTTTTTCACTGGAAGGAATGATGTCATTTCAGTCCTGGTCTGATAAAAACTTTTAAAATAAGGCTTCACATGTTAAAACAAAATTTTAAACATAAACCTTACCAGAATATAGGCAGCGTTGACAACGTTTGACAAGTTATGGGTAGATGTTACATAAATGTAATAATCTGTAAATGATTTTTTATTTAACATGGAAAGAACTTTGAATTTTCATTTGGGTAAGATTTTAAACTCATGCTTTAGACAATTGCCTTTTAGCAGAGTAGAAATATATACTCCAGACTGCCCAGATTCAAAGCCCAGCTCTTCCACATGATGGTAACTTGTAAACTTGAGTAGAGACTTAGTAGTAGTAATAAACTGATATTTATAAGTCATTTAATGTTTATAGGAATCCCATATTTAGATACTACCATGATCTCCATTTTACAAATGAGAAAACAGACACACAACTATTAAGTGGGAGAGCCAGTTTTCAAATCCCAGCAGTTAGATTCTGGAGTCCATATTTTTAGCCGTTCTGCTGTAATTGCCTCTCTGTTTTCTTGTCTGTAAATTGTAGATAATAGTACCTGCAACATAACATTGTTGTGAAAATGGAATTAGTTAATTCACATGAAACTCTTGGAACAGTGACCGGCACATATAAAGTGTTACTTGAGTTTTTTTGAGCCTTAGGTTTTTTCCAGTATGTTGTAGGAGCAAGAGGAAAGGGGAATGCTCTATACTCCAGCCTTTACTAAGCACAGCCTTTTTGTCTGTTTTATATGTTGGTATCATAAATTGCTCTTAGCTTGATAGGAATTCTATTGCCAAAAAAAAAAAAAAAAGTCTGGAAAAATACTGTTCTAGTTCAGTGTCTTTGTTTTACAAATATGAAACCTGGGCTTGAAAGGAAAAGAGACTTTTACAATCTTATAACAATGTCATTTTTTCCTGTAGAGAATGTTATGTGAAAGATACTCATCTGAGAAACCAAGTGATTTATCAAACATTCTTGAGATAGATGTAGGCATATTGTTAAGGCTAGGGTTTCTCTCTCTCTCTCTCTCTCAAGTGTGTGAATGTGTATGTATGTGTGTGGTTTATTTATTTATTTTTTTGGTGGCTGGCTGGTACGGGGATCTACACCCTTGACCTTAGTATTATAACACCATGCTGTCACTAACAAGGTCAGCCCCTATTTTTAATTATTTATCTTCCTATAAGATAAATATATACAAATATATATTTTCTATATATACAAATAAAATTCATACAGAATAATTATTAGCTTTAAAAGATTCACTGGGCTTTTACTGATTAATTTTTTTTTATTTACTCTTTGCCTGGGTATTAGTAATATGATTCAGAATTTGAAAAGTACAAAAGACACCACTCTCCCCTCTTTTCTTGCCCCCACAGGAACCTATTTTCTCTCTGTGAAGATGACCAGTATTATCAATTTTTTTGTATATCCTTCAAAATATTTATCTTTTTAGAAAGAGAGGGTATACATTTCCCCCTCTTTTACAGAAGTGGTGACATGCTATACACATTGCTTTGTGCCTTGTTTATTTCACTTAATATGTAT